TTTTAGACATCTGGAAATTCTGTGACAACATGCTTCCTCTATATTGATCGTCGCCCACAAGTCCAGGGACACCTGTTCCCCAGCGTCGGGGCGGTACTAGTCCGAGCCAGCGCCAGTCCAGGTCAGCCGGGGCCACGTCGCATACTCTGGCCGGCCGCATGGTAGCTCCCCCGAAGCCAGGTGAGCGGAGGGCAGGGAAGGGGGGGGGGTCGGCTCCACACGCCAAGCGAACTCGGAGGTTCAGCGTTCAGCTAACACGCCTCCGATGCCCTCTGCCTCCTCCTCCTCCTCCTCATCCTCCTCATCTTCCTCATCCTCCTCCTCACGCCACAGTGTATCGGAGGCGTGTTGGCCAACCCCCGTCAGCGCTCAACCCTGCCTCGGATGGTCCTTCCCTCGGGATCATGGAGAGTTTGACTGGCATCCGTTAGCGCTGAACCCTGTGCCGACGTCCCCGAAGGCTGTGGATCTTCACCCCATCGTTTGGTTGATTTGACGTGGGTACAAGCATGAAGTAGGAAAGCGTGGAAATCTTTTCAGGTTTCCGCCTGCCCCCTGAGACGGAAGGAAAAAGGAAAGGGACAACCATGCAGCGAATGAAATAAGAAGGCGTGTAAAATACACTGGAACCTGGGACCCCCCCCCAAAAAAAAATGTTTCAACAAACGATCAGTCTGAATCCCGGCCTCAAATTTCCTTCCTCGGAGAGGAGGGAGCTGGGACCCGCGAACGTTACGCGCTAGCCCTGAGGACGCGGCGCGCGGAGGAGGGGCCTGCCCCGACGCCGAGAGGGGTTGACGACGACCACGCTGACGACGACGACCCCGACCACGGCTGCCACGACGGCCACGACCACGACGACGGCGGCCACCACTACGACGGCGGCGCTGACGACGACATTGACGACGTGAGCCTACCCTGGGGATCGTCTCGAGCAGGACGCAAACGACAAGCGATGCTTTGGCTCCGATGATGACGACAGCCACCACCATCATGACGATGGCAGCGACGACCCGCACGAGACAGACACACATCATCACAACGGCGGCGGCATCGACCACGACGACGACGCTGACGTCGAAGACGACGCTGCCGCCGACGACGTTGACCACGTTCACGACGGCGACGACTTTGACGACGCTGACGACGGCGACGCCGACGAAGAACAGGCGGAGCGCGGACGGAGGGGCCTGGCCCGGCGCCGAGGATGGACCGTGGCCCCGAGGGGCGCTTAACCGAGGCATCCAGCGTGAACTGGCGGCCGATTCGTCGTCGCCGCCCCGTCGCCGTCGTCAGCGTGGCCATCGTTGTGCACCTCGTCGCCGAGGACGTCGTGGACAACGTCGTCGTGGACCCCAAATATCTGGGTCTCGAGAAAATCGGGGCGGAGGTTTCATCGCTTTCGGCTACTCGGGGGGGGCCCTTGCTGGGCCGCGGGACCGTGAACAAGCGAGCCGGGATGAAAAACCGGTCCTGGGGAAGTGCTCGAGAGGTCGGAGGCCCGTGTCTCAAAAAAACCGAGACGCTGGATGGCTGGGGACGTCGTCGCCGTCGTCGTCGAAGCCGCCGTCGTCGTCGTCGTCGTCGTCGTCGTCACCATCGTCATTGGCTTTGGGTGCGGCCGCTTGGCACAACCAGGTCACACGTGCACTTTTGTGCGTCGGAGATTCCGACTGCTCCTCCTCCCCCCTCCTCCTCCTCCTCCACATTATGCTCCTCCTCCTCCTCCTCCTCCTCCTCCTCTTCCCCCTCTCCTTCTCCTGCATCCCTCTTCCTTATCACTAACTCCTGCCTCTCGCGCACCGATGCCAGTCGAAAAGCGCGTGCTGGGCGTCTCGCCTAAGCGCCGCGCACATTCGTGCTAAAAAGTTGCAAGGGCTTCACGGATGGAGGGCGGATCGTTTTCAACATGTGGCCCTCCCCAGAGCGCCGCGCACATTCGTCTTCAGAGTTTGCAGCAGTATGAACAAGTTGCATGGTTAAAGTTCCAGAGTTGTCTTGGCACGATGTCGTGATGTCAGGGCGCAACAGTCAAGTTGATTCGCGGTGTTGAAGTCCCACGAATGGTGTTCTGGCGCGAGCCAGGATCGCCAGGACGCAAGATTAACGTTGGTTCGCGGCGTTGGGCGCCCAGGAATGGTTTTCTGGCTCAATCCCAGATTTTCAAACGGTTGTCTTCCAACGGGGCACTTCCCTCAGTGAGAGTGAATGCTTGTAGGGGCCAATGAAGAGGGACTTTGGAGGAAGGGTTTGTTGCAATATCGTTGATGAGTCTTGTGTTTGCACTGGTCCTCCTCCTCCTCCTCCTCCTCCTCCACATGGTCATCGTGTTTTTCTGCCCTCAGGAGCTCTGCTCGTCGCCACGTCTGGATGCAGATGGAACGGGCGGGCGCTCACACACCAGTGCGGGGACAGGGAGGGGGGGGGGCAGGCGGAGGAGTGGGTAGGCGGGGATTTAGGGGGGGACGAGAAGGAAATACGACGGCAGGGAGAGAGGGGGACAGGGGATACAGTTGGGGCCCGACCACAAGAAACCTTCCACCAGAAACCCAACAGACCCCAGGACGTCCATGGATTGTTGATGTGGGAACTTCATGCTTTCCCAGCAGAACCATCGAAGCCCAAGAAACCCAGGGCACCCTGTAGGCAAGCAGGGTGTTTCTTGGCATGGGCCCCCACTGTAGGAAGGGGACGGGAGCGCAAAGGCACGGCAACCGAATCCGCGACCGAGGCGAGGCAACCACTCGACAGCTCGACAGCCGGCAGGCCTCAAGAACGCGGAGGCTGGCGCCCCAGCCCCGAGCCGCCCCCCTCCCTCCGCCCGCCCCCCCGACGATTCAGGCCGGCGCCGTCCTCGCCATCGTTCGGGCGTCCATGCCTCGTGCATGTTTCGATTCCGTGCGCGATTATTCGCAAGATGAGCCAGGATGTTCCTCGATGGTCCTCGCCGAGGAAAGAGTACACACATCCGCGCGATGCCAGGCGTCTGGGAATGGATCGGGTCTGTCCATTCCAAAGCCTCGCGGCCACAAAGCGTGACGCTACCAGCCACACACACCCACCCACCCAAACTACGCCCGACATCGCAAGGGGATCCGGAGACTGACTCCTGTGCCAAGACCGTCGGCGGGGAGGCCCAAACTTGCCAGGACAGCTCACAGATCGAAGGAAGGGAGACGACACGAGACGAGACGCTGCAGTGCACGGCGGGGCGCGGCCCTATCGAGAGCGCAGCGGGCAGGGCCGTGGACGCTGAGATGTCGGTGGAAAAATGCGCTCTCCCAAGGGTCAAACGAAATTGACCCGCAAAGCGTCGGAAGGAGAAGGATACGACTGTGCGGCCACAGCTCTCGGAGCTCGAACTTCGTGGGCTCACACCCCAGCTCTGCTTTGTTGACGGGTTGAGCAAAGGGAGGGATGATCATGATGATGGTGATTCGGTTGGCGGTGATGATGATGGTGGTGGTGATGGTGGTGACGGCGATGCTGAGGGAGAAGGGAGGAGGACGACGATGAAGATGAGGATGATGAGAAACATAGGGGTGATGTTGATGATGATGGAGATGATGATCATGATGGTGCTGACGATGATGATGATGATGATGATGATGATGATGATGATGATGATGATGATGATGATGATGCAGCCAATGAAAATAATGACGATTGACATGATAAGTTTGATGGTGCTGGTGTTGGTGATTATGATGACGATGGCAATTGCGATTATGAATACGATGCTGCTGATGATGGTGATGATGATGATGGCAATGACGATGGCGATGATGGCGAAATTGACAATGGTAATGGATGGTGATGATGGATGATGATGATGGATGATGATGATGATGGTGATGATGATGATGACGACGACGATGAAGATGATGATGATGATGATGATGATGATGATGATGATGATGATGATGATTGGTGATGGTGATGATGATGTTGATGATGATGGTGATGTTGATGATGATAGCGACGGTGATGGTGGTGGAGATGGTGCGGATGATGATCATCATCATGATGACGAGGGCGATGGTGATGACAGCAATGATGACGGTGATGGTGATGGTAATGGTGGTGGCAGTGGTGATGCTGGTCATGCCTAGTAATATCCAATTGGGGGATATTCGCGTTCGCAGGCATGCGTTTAGATGATCTGGTGTTTCTTCACGCACGCGTACGGCGTCTAACGTCGGCCTCATGTTGAGCCTCGGGGTGGGGGGGGTCCACGTCGATATAACGCACATATCCGGTAAACGAATCTACAATGGTGTGTATACGTCCGTGAGCACCCGGTCTGGGAAGAGGAAGGGCGCGCGCGCGTTTAACAGAAATAGCTTCACAAATAACAAACTACGTTCATGGCGCCGCCAACCCTCTGGTGCCGGAAAAAATCCTGGGGAGCGTAGGTAATCACTCCCCCCGCGGCCGTCGGCGCACAGGGGCTCTGTGCGTCGACGGACGTCAGCACGTTGGCCACTCAACGCCCCGCGTTCTGGGCAGGCCGCCCAGGGCACAAAAACTTCTGATGCGGCAGGGCGCGTGGACCCGATTTCGGCACGTCGCAAGGTTGCCAGCCTTCGTGCCATCCCAAGGCGCATTGTTCCCCCCGGCGCCAACCGCGAAAACGTTTTACGGCGCGCGTGGCATGGGTGACACCTACTCCTGGCAAGGCCTAATGGACAAACCAAAGCGGGCCAGCGAATCCCATGGTTACCGCCCGACCTCGCGCCGCGCCACCGTGCCAGGACGCCCATCACATAGTGGCGGGTCGCCCTCCCTCACTTCCAGGACGCCCATCACATAGTGACGAGTCGCCCTCCCTCAACGCCAGGAGTCGCGCCAGCGGTCGTCCCAGCCCCAGCGGCTGCCCCAGCCACGCCAGCCAGACCAGCTACCAAATCGGGGGCGCGCAAGCATGGATTAGCGATCCATGAATTTGGCGCGCAGTCGCCAAATCCATGGATCGGGGGAGGTGCCCTCCCCAAACTGCGGCTGGCCCGCCTCGCTCGGCGGCGGAAATCCGCGATTCCCCATGGAAACGGGACCCGTCGCTAATCCACGTCCCATTGATCCATGTTTGCGATCGCCTGACCAGAGCCCCACCACGAGCTGCTCCACGACGACCACGACGCATCCCCCTCCTGACTCGGACGGGGCTCCTCGTCATTGGTCGCCTGCCTCACGCCCTGCATCGAGAGGCGCCGAGGGCTGTGGGGCGGCGGGGGCCGCCGTTGACGACGCTCGATCACGGGCACGCAGCTCCCACAGCGTCGGCGGGCGATCGCAACGACGCAGTGTTGGAGGACGATCGCGAGGCCCCTGGCTGCCATGCCTCTTCCGCCGCGGACCACGTCCCCCCCCCCCTTGCCAGCGGCAGCAGGGGAGATACCGCAACCCGCCGAGGTCATCCGAGCAGACGTGGACGTGCCGCAGGCTGGCTGGAAAGCGGGCGCTCGCCACCTGTGCGACGGCAGCGCTGCTCATCGGGCGCCGACACAGCGCCTGGAACATAATTCTGGGTCACTGGTGCGATGCGATGCGACCACCGTTGCGAACAGCGTCCGGGCCTACTCAAGACCGGGTGGGCGAGGCCGTGGCCTCTGGAATCTGGCGTGTCTGGACAATATGCAGTGCGAGACAAATACACCAAAATATTAAGAGGGACGGAGGGAGGATGGTCCTTGGGGGTCCGGTCACTGGTGGGCCCAGCGACTTGTACCTCGGACCCATCGGGCTCGGTTGAGGCACGTCTGACTGGGACCAGATTTTTGATCGCGATCAACGCCGCGTCAACAACGTACCCTGGGAAGTGCTGAATCGCTGAATCGGCATACGCCAGAGGGCAGAGCGATCAAGTGTCAAGAAATACGCCGTGGTGCCAGTGAGAATGTCCACCTTCACGTTGCCGAAGATACTGGAAGTGACCTTCGATCCTTGCGACGTTGTCTGTTTCTAAGCTCTTCATGTCATCCGCCATGTCCGCGACACACTCGTGAATCATGGTGACGGTTTCCCTGTGCGAACGCACTATCTTCAGCTGTTCCTTCATGTCGCTTACGTAGTTGAGCCACACTGGGTGGTTATCATCCACGACTCCCGCACTGCGCTGCCATGCGTAGCCCTCCTCCTCCTCCTCCTCCTCCTCCTCCTCCACCTCCTCCTCCTCCTCCTCCTCATCATCATCATCATCATCATCATCATCATCATCATCATCATCATCATCACCATCACCATCATGATCATGATCATGATCATGATCATCATCATCATCATCATCATCATCATCATCATCATCATCATCATCATCATCATCATCATCATCCTCAACAGCATCATCATCCTCATCATCATCATCATCATCACCTACATTGTCATCTTCATATTAATCTTCATCATCATCACCATCATCATCATCATCATCACCAAGAATCATCATCAGCATCATCATCAGCATCATCATCATCATCAGCATCATCATCGTCATCATCATCAGCATCATCATCATCGTATCATCACCACCAAGCATCATCATGTTCATCATCAGCATGCTCCTCCTCCCCCTCCTCCTCACCATCAGTATCATCATCAACTTCAGCAGCATCATCACCACCACGATCATAATTCGCATCATCATAATCCTCATCAACATGCTTATCATAAACATCAGCATCACCAGCATCATCAGCATCATAATCATCATCATCATCATCATCATCATCCACCATCATCATCATCATCATCATCATCATCATCATCATCATCAACTTCATCAGCATCATCATCAGCATCGTCATCAGCAAAATGAGCATCATCAGCATCATCAGCATCATCATCAGCATCATCATCATCAAAGTCATCCCCGCCTCGACCCTTCCTCGGCCATACTCCTTCTCCCCCACCTCCGTCCTTCTCACCTCACGCTCCCCCGCAAGTGCAGAGAGCGGACGTAGGGCGGGCGTGCGATGCGTAGACCTGTCAATACTGGCAAGCACCGATGATTGCTCTGCTGGCCAGGGGACCTCCGAGGAACCAGAAACAGCGGCGAGCGAGGGGGGAAAGTGAGAAGGAACGAGCCTTCTCAGAAAGCTCGGAAGTCCCCCGGCCTTCTGAGAAGTTTTCTAAGCCTTCCCCGAAGATGCAGAAAACCTCTCAGAAGGCGCGAGGGCTTCTGAGAAGTCGCCTTCTGAGAAGGCTTTCTCCTTCTCACTTCTCCCCCATCGCCCTCCGCCGACGACGAAAACAACGACGCCGGCGGCGGCGGCGGAGGCGGCGACAGCGGCGGCGAGGGCGAGGACGATGGTGAGGACAAGGGCAATGAGAAGGAGGCGTGCCTTCCCCACGGACACCGGGGTGATGGAGGCCGTCCCGCAGACGCCGGTTGCGCCTCACCGTCCCCCAAACCCTGGATCCCCCACGTCCTGAGCCCCCTCCTCCTGCGCCTCCGCCTCCGCCTCCGCCTCCGCCTCCTCCTCCTCCTCCTCCTCCTCCTCTTCCTCCTCCTCCTCCTCCTCGTCCTCCTCCTCCTGCTGCTACGACTACGTATACTACGGCGACTACTACTACTACGGCGACTACTACTACTACTACTACTACTACTACTACTACTACTACTACTACTACTACTACTACTACTACTACTACTACTACTACTACTACTACTACTACTACTACTACTACTACTACTACTACTACTACTACTACTACTACTACTACTACTACTACTACTACTACTACTACTACTACTACTACTACTACTACTACTACTACTACTACTACTACTACTACTACTACTACTACTACTACTACTACTACTACTACTACTACTACTCCTACTCCTACTCCTATCCTTATTCCTTATTAGAATATACTCCTACTCCCCCCTCAGGCCGGCAGATAGCGGGCGCATCCGGGTGGTCCCATCCTAACCTGTAAAAAACAATACAAAATCAACATTTTTCTTATTTTTTCCTCTCGACATGGACGTCCTGTCGTCCACGGCGATAATCCATTGCAAAAAATACCACAAAGAGCACACGCGCGCGTTCATGTCAGAATCCTACCGAACACCGTGTGTTTGCAAGCATTTCAACATAAAAACATCAAAAACCCAATGTTTTTTCACAAAAATTCTACAATTTTCCTGCCCGGCTCTCTTGCTGAAATCATAGGAAAACCATAGGAATCTTAAGAATTCTGTCAAATCCAGCGATTTCACGTCATCGCGCGGTGCACTCGCGATGCTCTGTCATGCACCCAGGCCGCGAATCCTGTGCAAAAAATACCACGCGGGCGACATGCGCGCGCGTCGCCGCGAGCGCATGCTCAAATCCTTCTAGAGTCGTCGCCGTCATTGGCACCGTCGCATGGACGTCCTGTCGTCCACGTCGCAAAATGCATAGCAGGAATGGGACGCGGCGCACACCCCGCGCCCGCCCATCCAATCCGTCCCATTCTAATCTGCAAAAGACAATACACAGTTTTTGGTTTTCTTGTCAACATGGTCGTGCTGTCGTCACGTCGCAAAATGCGTGGCAGGAATGGGACGCGGTGCACACCCCGCGCGAAGGGGTGACATGTCGCTCTCGCCTCGGCGCCGCGCACCAACGTTTTTCCTCTCAGCATGGACGTCCTGTCGTCCACGTCGCAAAATGCTTGGCAGGAATGGGATGCGACGCACACCCCGCGCCCGCCCATCCAAACCCCCCCTTTATAAAAAAACAGTACAAGTTGGGGCCTTCAGGCTTCCTGCGGTGTACCGGGCCATTCTCGACTCGTCTGGCAATGCGCGCGCGGCATTCAACACGCGCTCGCCAGTTCCCGTCGGCAACCGCCATCGCGGCCGCATCAGCTTTACCAAACCGGCTGGCCGGTGTGACTTCGGCCCCCAGTTGTGCCAGCTTTGCT